CGACTGCCGACTGTCAAGCGTTGGTCCCAGTCGGCAAGTGCAAGGTTGTTTTTTAAAACGCAAATAATGCCGAGCGTAGCTTCTCCAAATGCAAATACTCGTACATACCACAGCCACTCATGTGCACATATATACTTGTGCATTTCTATATACAGCCCGGCATTTGGAAAGCCGCAGAGTGATTGCCTCGGGTTTCACAGTGTCAAAATATAGAGAACCGAGCATAAAACTGACTAAAAATGTTGAGGGATGCAAGGCCAGCCATCCAAAAAAACGACACTCAAAATGGCTCTTTGATATCGTTTTATCTGAATGCTTTTTTGGATAATGATAGTTTTGTAGTCCGCAGCAAGCACTTTACAGATTCCGCTCTTCTAGTCGATGAAGTGCACATAAGTTCTTTGATTAATGCGAGTTTATAGTAATTTATAGTAGTTTATAGTAGTTTATGGCGTTTATGTAGTTTACATGGAGATAATAAATGGATAGACCTGCACATTAAGTCGTGGTTTAATTACCGGTGTATTCAATAAAGTTTGCAATCCTACTATACGATCCTCTGGCTGTTCAATCTGCGCCAACCAAAAAGCCACAAAGTACCCTTGTTTATTGACGTGTTTATTAGATACCGATCATTACTTTGACAGCTATTTGATACAGCACTGGTAATTCTATCTTTGAAGATTTCACTAGATTAATGTAGTTTCTCATGGATGCTCAATGGATTCTTATGACAAAAACGCAGCATCGACTTCTAAACAAATTCTTTGGGGTTGGCTCGTCAGCATGATGATGATGACTCAGGTCTAGTTTTTATTCGTCCCCAAACAGGAAAACAAAAGCCACTGGTTGATAAATTAAGTGACGACTATAAAGATCGCAATCCAAGCAAACAATTATAATAAAAGATTCGCCACCTTCTGAAGCAATTAAGACAAAGAGCTCAAACGATTTAAGACTCGAGTTCCTCGAGTTAATCAAAATGTCTGCAGCGTTTTTTAGAGTGCACAGAAATGGAAAGTCAGCTGCAACAAACTTGGCGACACACAAAGAACAAGAGCCTCCACATCCCAAAAGAAAACAAGAAGGGCGATGATGATGCACCAGATGAGTCAGAACCAATCTGGAAATACGAAAAAATATCAAAGGGCAACTTTTCCAGCTAATGAAGCCTGCGCCCTACTTATGCGTTTTTGGGGAATACGGATGAGTCAATGCCAGAATGAACCTAATCTAACCCAAGGATCGCAATGGAAAAGAACTTGCAGTCCAAGCCAGACTTTTGCAGCTAATGAAATGATTATGCTGGCCATACTTATTATACTCGTAATTATGCGACGGCCTATTAATGGAGATCGGATGCGGATGGAGAATCTCGGCGAATGATGATCTCATCGATTGCATCAGATTTCGCACGGCATGTCGTTTCATGTGGTCCGCAATTTTGTTCTCGTTTTTGCTCCCCCTTTTTTGTGTGTGTTTTAATGTGCAAAAGACATATGCAGAATATACAAAATTAGCTGTTAGCACGCCAACTGCCAACGCCATCAACTTCACTGCGAAAAGCGACTTTTAAGGCGAGCCAGCGAATGAAAAATAATGTTTCATGGTCAATGCCATGGAATTGCTTGCATTGGACCCTCACGCTTGACTGGCAATCGTTGACAGCCCAGATATAAAATGGCATAACAAACATAAGAGGCCCCAGACACAGGTACCCTCCAAAAAATTCAACAAAAATTAAAAAAATCATTGCGTGTGCAGCAAATTGATTGATCTGCACCAAACTTGTTGCCAACTGTGGCGAATCAATCAATTGACGAAAATTTCGAGAGCACGGGAATCAGATACAGATACAGATATAAAAGCCTCTTAATTTACAGCTCGCTTGACATCTCCATTCGAAACACTGAAAGTATTCAAAACATTCCTGGGCGTAGTCCGGCGACAGCTTTTGTGCGATCCAGATACAAGCCATAAATAATAAGATTTACATATGAATTTGTAACTGTTCCACGTCTATTAGTATATGAATACATCACGCTCTCTGCTGATCGGCTGAATCCAGTTTTAAGCATTCCATTTTCGCCACTAATGAGGCTTCCCCACTTCAACATTGACCTCTACTCAAAGTCCGAGCGTTGAATTTTGAAATCGAATTGGTTATTGCAGCAAGTGTTTTTATTTCGCGTTTTTTCCTTTGGCACTTCAAGTGACTCGAGTGACGTCAGCCGAAATGAGTACGATTCGGATAATTTACAAAGGCCAACTGCGAAATTATCTAAAGCAGTATGGGAAGAACTAGTCATCTCGTCGCCCAAAGATTAGCTCAAAGATGTAGCTCAAAGATAAGATTATCGGACATCTTCTAAATATGTTAAAGAAAGCTTTACAACAAACAAACAAACCAGTTATATGACAAAACATTTAATCTCTTCAATCAATAAACTTTTTATTCAAAAGTTAGATAGACCTTATTCCAGCTTAGAACTTATCCATTGTGGTATCTAATATGGTAGCTATCTAAAACTTTGGGTCGGACTTTCAAATTGAATAGTGCACTTACTAAATAAACACAAACATGGTAACTGTGCGCCGGCTGGGAACAGCGATTACCGCTTGCCAACGATATCTTATCAATGAAATTTCAGCACGTTACGTAGGCCAGGGCCAATTTTCGGTTCGATTAGTCAGAGCCAAGAATAAAAGCAGACGCGGAAAAGCAAAGCCGCCCGATCGGCACGGAAACAAATCGCGGCGCAGGTGATGGAGTAACGGAAATCATAACATAGAACTCAGGTGGAACGATTACGAGAACCCTGAGAGTCCCGAGAAGACGGCGATGACAGCGATATTTATTTGGCCGCGCATTGCTGATGGGAATACATATATGTATGTTTGGTACACCCGGATCGAGTATATATATATTTTATTGAACAAGGCACAGGCAAGCAAACAATGGAAGACTCTAAGGCAAAAGGCCAATTTGTTTATGTATTTTCCCGCCTCAACGGCAACGCAACACATTTGAGGTCGATAAATGGAAACGCAGGAAGTTTGGGCCAAATGCCGCGGGCCATTAAATCGGCCCTGCTGTTGGCTATATCTTGCTATCTTTCTATACCTACGCCTAAACCTAAACCTATACCATATATCCATATCCACTCACCTTCTCGGCGAACTCCTCGCGCGGACGACGCGAAATCGTCGGTGTGGCACTCATGAGCTCCTTGGTCGGCGATGGTGTCATTATGGCAATTATATCTTCTACCTCCGTCGGTTATCGCTTATGAATTGCACTTGCGGCTTTAGGTTCTAGATACAAAAACTCACTGGGGACCCCTTTTCGTATTGCTTTCGTTTAGTTGCACTTTATTTATGCGAGGGTAGCTTGCGTGCTGCGAAGTAAATTTAATTTATAGCAACTTTTATCAGTTGGCATTTCTGCTTTGGTCTATAAGCAAATTATTACGTAGCCGTTGAAAAATGTCGCTGGCGTTAAACTGTTTTTGCCACCTCAATTCGCATTTGTTTTGGCCTTTTTTATTGCCGCTGGAACTGCTGATATTTATACAGTGAACAGCAATTGGGGTCAATTAGGGAATTTATAAAATAACAAAAGTGATTAAATGAAATCGTTTCCTTGAAAATAATAACCAATTTTTAAAAAATCCATTTCTCAATAAAATCTTATAGCGTATATCAGAATAATCACATTTGTTCAACAATTCAACTTCAAAGACGTTAGCCTTATTTGCTGCCAACCGGATGACAGGAAAGTGATTTACTTTAATTAAAATTGATCTGATATTTATGATAAGCAAAGTCGGTACATTTAAAATGGAAATTGAGCCTGCGGGGGAGTATTTAAACCGGTATTTACTGTATTTGCAATTTGCCATAACAGTTGAAGTAAAAAAATGAAAAAAAAAAAAAAAACTCTAATGAGTCTGGAAGTTTGGATCATATGCAAAGAATGTTGTCATTGGACTATTTTTAGAAGTAGACGTCACTAACGAAAACAAAAAACGTGAACCGGAACGATTCCAAAAGAATGTGGTTGTTGTTGTTGTTGCTGGCGAACGTTGATTGACCCCGAATATGAGAATGAGGAAGAAGAAGAAGTAGCAAAGCCGGCCGGCCAATTAATTGATTTATACTATTCGATTTTCCACTATTTTTACTGCTTTTTTAATTTGATTTCCCCTTCCTCTCCAATTCGACCTTCAGCGTACTGCAATTCTAATTGGAATTCAATTTCAGTAAGAAGAAGAAAGAAGAAGCAACAGTTTGTTGCAGGAGCCGCACGCACACACGCACACCAGCGAAGGCGCGCACACACATGCATGCACACAGTTAAGCGCGGCTCACACGCACACCGGTTAAACTTGTTATCGGCCGCATGCAAGAACCCCAAAACTACAGCAACAACAACGCACAACTCTAGGCCACAAACAAGTTCTGGAACATCAGCAGCAGCAACAACAACAACAACGCACTGGAGTGTTTTATTTTGAAACACGGCTTTTTCTCGTTGTTATTGCATATTTGTGGTAGGTAATTTGGCCAGGAGTAAAAAGCAACGCACACACTGAACACTCACACACATACACTATATCTCACTCGTTGCCGCGCAAACTAAAAACAAACGAAAGTAAATCAACGTAAAAACGAAACGAACGCGATCCGCCGACGCGCTTTTGGCTTCAGCTTTGGCTTTCAAAACACTGCGAAAAATACGAATGTTGCGGCTGTTGGCCAGTGAGAACGTAGCCCGCTAACATAAAAATACCAAAAGTACGAAGCCGCTCAGTGGCACAACTAAAAATACCAAAATTTATTCAGGTTTCGGAAACCGCGTTGTAAATACCCTTTAATATTAAAGCTTCCAAGTATTCCTAATACAGGATGTCTATTTTCATAAGTACAAAAGAGTATATAGGTATATCTCTGAAACTTGAATATTCATCTGTGAGAAGCAACCAATTAAAGACGTTTCCTTTTGACTAATGAAATGAACGCTTGGCGTGCATCAATTCGTTTATTGTGATTGGCACTAGTAAACAAGTGATTCCGAGTAACTAACTCCCTGCATTCGGCTGCTCCACAGTCCGTATTTGCTCCTGCAGCTCCTGGATGTGTTGCTCGAACTTCTGGATATCGCCGGTGATCTGCTGCAGACTGGTCAGCACGTTCTTCAGCTTCTCGCCATCGATTTGGACCTCCAGTTCGCGGATCTGCTTGGTCACGTTTCCCGTGAGGGAGACGCACTCGACCAACTCGTTGCAATTGGCATGGAGTTGGGCCAAGAGCTTGTAGGCCCGCTTAGCGTGGAGATCATGCTTGGCGCTCTGGAAGAGCAGATCGTCCGTGTAGTTGAACTGGCGCTGCAACTGGGCACCCACAACATTGAGCTGCTTCTGCAGTTGCCGCGTGTCATCCAGAACTTTGTAGATATCGGCTCGTTGCTTACGGATATTCCCAATGAATTCGTGTATCCTGCGGGTGTACTCCTTGCGAGGTGCCAAGGACTGACTGGCGTTTCGCAGGGTGGCATTAAGTTCGTTGTGCTGTTGGGTCTTGGTCAGAAGTTCCTGCTCCAGTTGCTCGATGTTGTTGCGAATGCCCTGGACCTCCTGAGCTTCCTTGGCGGTCTTAAGTTTCTCTAGGCTTTCCAGCAGCGGTTTCCTGTAATCCTGCCACTGCTGGGTAAGCGTAATCCTTTTGCTTTGAGTCGATTTTAGTAGGGCCTCCAGTTTGGTCAGGTTCTCCTCGGAATCGGCGAGAACCAAGGAAGTGCGTTCGTGCAGTTTGAGCGTGGGCTGAATGCGACTGATCTCCTCGCTCGCTTTTGCTTCCCGCTGCTTAAGAGCTGCAATGGCAACAGCATATGCTTTGCGTTCCGCTAGCAGGGTTTCGCATTGGACTCGCAACTCCTCGACTTGGTCGCTCAGTTCTTGGATGGGTGAAGCCTCCTCCTCCGCACTGGCGGCCGGTTTTACGGTAGAAATCGGGGGCGGCGCTGGTTCTTCGCTATCCACAAAAAGAAGCGTTGAATCCGGCAATGTCTGGTCCCACCTGTCCAGTTCATTCTTGTGCAGCACCGAGGCAATTAGATCCGTCGAGGTGGAGGATGTTTGCTGGAAGAGGTTGGGTGCCTGTTGGTCTAAATACTGCTGCTGCTCCTTGGAACGGTCCTCGGGATTGGCGGATGGAATGTTGAGATTGATGTTTGGTCGAAATTCGATGCCCAGACTACTACAACCAAGCAATTTGCGATTGCCCACGGACCTGGCAAACTGTGGCACCCAGGGTGTCTTAAGTTGTTGGGCGAGCTCCTTACGTATTTTTCGCTCTAGGAGTTGCCTGTGACTCAGGGTTTGCGACTTGCTGGCACCGTCCTCCGCGCTTTGACGCTCTCGCGGAAGTTGTTCGATGAGAAACATCAGCAACCGCCGCAGTTCCACGGCATTGGGATACAAGAAGGTCTGATATCCAATATCGCCCCTGTAACCGCTATCCTTGCAGCCCTGCGCCAAGGAGCTGGCCACTCCGAAGCGCTGGGCCATCGCTCCGCCGGGAAGTGTCCGGGGAAGCTGCAGGTCTGGACGGATCTCCGCCAGACAGCCGGAGACCGCTCGCACCACCTGTTCCGGGGTGAATCCGGACAGCTCCTCCGTCGGCTCGATGGCCGCGTCCACCTGGTGCAGCTGGTGCATGATTATCTTGTCCACTTCGTCCATGATTTGCTTTATTTACCATTTATTTTCGCATTTTAATGGGAGTGTTTTTTTTTGTGACCCACTTGTGGCAGTCACAGCGATACGTGAACAAGTTGGTCCGGCAACGTTAGCGGTTTTCGTGATCCGATGTGGCAGCTCCGTTTTGATTCAAAAAGTAACTTAGTTTGAAACAAATTCTTTTTATGTAATTTACAAATGCATTACTAAGGACTTATTTAAAATCAATTGTTAAATTCGTTTAACGCAAATGTCACAAAACAAAAAATTTGATCTCAGTTATACAATAGCAAATCAATATCGTTTACTTTGTAAAAGGGCAATAGGATTTCTATTCATTTAATATTTACTTTAAAAACCTTTTTGCGAGCTTTGTTTTATTCGGACATTGTTGACATGGAGCTAACGTAAAAGTAATAACCTTGAAATATTTATTTTATTAAGAATAACTTAAAAACATGCAATCCAGTTGGAGATTAACAAACAATAATACACATTTCGTCATGTTTGAAGATATTTCTGTGTCACCCCTTTTTATTTTTCGCAATTTTATTTACTGCCCCCGGAAATTTTAACCCTGACACACAGTGTCTTAACGTCATTATTTTATAACCAACCCTTTACCTGTGATTTTGCGAAACACCGGCTGATATTTTTTATAGCAGACTGGGCAGAAAATAAATCGTCTTTGTGGGCACGCAACCACAAAGCCTAATTGAATTTGGCCAGCACCACAAAATGCGATATAAACGCTGCATCGAGGTGATTGGAAACAGTTCAGCCCTGTGGCGCACACAGAGCGAAACGGGTAGCGGTTAAGGCGTATCGGTTGGGAATCGGTTCGGTATCGGGTTAACCGGTATGGAACCGCTGTGCAATGCCAGTGAACCGCCTCTCCGCCCGGAGGCGAGAAGCGCTGGCAACGGGGAGTTACAGTTCCTCGGATGGAATGTGCCTCCGGATCAGATTCAATACATTCCGGAGCACTGGCTGACCCAGTTGGAACCGCCCGCCTCCATGCACTACATGCTGGGCGTCTTCTACATATTTCTTTTCTGCGCCTCGACAGTGGGTAATGGCATGGTCATCTGGATCTTCAGCACATCCAAATCGCTGAGGACACCATCCAATATGTTCGTGCTAAACCTGGCCGTCTTCGATCTGATCATGTGCCTCAAGGCGCCGATCTTCATCTACAACAGCTTCCATCGTGGATTCGCCTTGGGCAACACCTGGTGCCAGATATTCGCCTCCATTGGCTCCTATTCGGGCATTGGAGCAGGTATGACAAACGCGGCCATAGGCTACGATCGATACAATGTGATCACCAAGCCAATGAACCGGAACATGACCTTCACCAAGGCCGTAATAATGAATATAATCATCTGGTTGTACTGCACGCCATGGGTCGTCCTGCCGCTAACCCAGTTCTGGGATCGATTCGTGCCAGGTGAGATTTTGTGTCTCATTAAAAATCATCAAAATGAAAGACCAGGGATATCAAAAGTGTTCTTGAAATTTTATTTATAATGAGCTGAAAGTTCCTTGCTGCTTTTGTTGTTAAGGGTATGCCCACTTTACTTAAATTCAATAATAATTATAGATGAAAATTCTACCGGTAACCAGTTTTGATTCTACCCTTACACACTGTTAATTTCGGAGATAATGACAAGTGCTATCAAACAGTACTGCTTAACTGCTTAGTTTGCCACTGGGTTCCATCGTGAGGTAGAGGACTCCTAATGCTCGGCGAGATAAAAGTGCAGAGGCCTCGTTTTCCCATAAAGGCCATGAAGTTCCCTCGCAGCCCCTGATTGTAACTAAGATCCTTCGGCGTATAGAACGTGGTATTCAGATATAGTGTTGGTATCTGATACCCCAACATTATAAGTGGGAGAATGCAGGCATAGATGTTGAGAACAAAACATATGTTCAGTACTATTGACTTGAAACTCATTGGTTTGAAAAATAGGATAAGGTGTGTAAAGTGTATTATCGCATATTGCCGCCGCATTTCTTCATTAATTACAAGCAGATGTATGTGCGTTGCCAAGGACAAAAGTGATCCAATAAGCATGTACATTGTAAACCAGAAAAAGTACCTTCGGAAAGAATGTGGGTTAATTTACAATATTATCACTGTCATAATTACCTGTAGTTATTGTGGCCAATGCAAGTCGCCGTGAAGATGCAGTGATGGTCCCGCCTCAGAATGCAGCATTTACACAAATTGCAGTGCCAGGATCTGGGCTGTTTTAAGTGAAAAATACGGCGTTTAATAACCATTAGGACATTTTTTTTAAGCGTGTGATATATATTAAATTAACCTGAATTTCTCTACTATCAGATACCCGTTACTTAGCTAAAGGTTCAAAAGGTTTCGAGGAATATCGATAGAAATCTCATGACTTCTAGAAACTTACTACATGCTTAATGTCGACGTTCATACGGACAGACAGACGGACGGACACAGGGATGGACGGATCGGATCATGTCCATATCGACTCGGTGAAGAATATACATACTTTGAAACAGCGGAAAAGCTTTCTTTACTTCTAAGCTACTTTTCAACGAGTAATGGTTATAAATATACCTAATTGTTTGGTATCCACACCTCCACTTTTCGTGATTTTGCGTGGAGATACAGATACTATATTCCATGGCGAACTATTTACCGGCACTAGCATCTGGCACTGGTCACAGAAGTGCCACAGGTGCTCTTCCTCTGGAGACGGAATCTGCCGATCCTTGGGCAGCGAAGTCACCGCAGAGGAAGTGCGATGACAGGCAATCATATTTCCCAGAAGGTTGTAGACAATGAACAGTGAAATAAGCCAGGCGATCTTGAAGAACAGCCCATCGGGGTCGTAAATCTTGGGCATTATATAGAACATGTCCAGCGATAAAAATAGGACGGTTCCTACCAGAACCAATCCTATGGCGGCGGGATGGACCGTCATTGCAAACCGCTTTGGATAGGCGTTAGCTATGTACTTGCATCCAGTCATCATGAAGCACATGGTTATGGAGTTATATAAGATATTTGGTATATTAAGAAGTATGAGTTTAAAATGTATTTCTCGGGCTACTCGGGCTAATTTGATATACAGCACTTGACAAGTATCGGTGTGAATAAAATTCACTGGATATAAAACATATCTGGCCATTAAAGAAATCTGCGATATAATTATTTGGCTTACTCTGAAGTTGTTTGTATTTTTGTAAACATTATAGTACACTTAATGATGTCCTATATCATATATATAATGATATATTTATAATGAAATGATGACATAACTCTTTCCTGATTTCCATTAATGCCTAAAAAAATCATAATACTCCTTAAAATCATAAACCTAATAACTCAATTGGAACTCATACATAGGGCCAACTTGGCACATAAAATGTATTTATTCAATATGCATTTATATAACACGCTAACAGCTACCAATCAGGGACGCAAATCCGATTTATAGGGTAGCAGAGATACGGAGGGGTTAGTTGGTATTCCCCTGCACCTTCCTAATGACCACGTTCAGGGCGAGATTGCCGTCCTCAGAAAACAGTTCGACGGTTGACTTGTTAAGCACCAGGAAGTCAGCGTTGGTGAACGAGGCGAAGCTCTCCCGGATCGATCTTGGCTTGGATTGCCAGCGGAGAGTGCGATTATGGGCCTCCAAGGAGATATTATACACGAACTCGGCGGCATCCCGCATGGTTCCGATCATCCGGCAGGCGGTGAAGTACTGCTGACAGCCCTCCCCCAAGTGGATCTTCTCCAGCGAGAGGAGGAAGTGTCGGCCATGGCAGGACTGCACCATTGTCCAGTCGAGGGCACCCTCTAGATTAACGTTGGTGGCCAGGAAGATGATGTCGCTGCCCTCCATGGTGATCACGTTCTCGTGTGAGCTCATCAGGTGCTGGTATACTTCCTTAAACGACCCCTGCCAGGAACACTTGTCATCCGGATACGGGCAGAAGTAGGGACGGCAGTCGCAGTCCTCCTCGTGGGTGCTCTTCTCTGCGTAAGAGAGCTGTGCCCTGCAGCCAAAATTCGAGTGCTTACAGGGAAAGACCAGCTTGGAGGCAACCTTCTCCATTGCCAGGCTGCGGATGTTGGTCATGGAGACCCGGCAGACGGGGCAAAGGTTCACCTTCGAGCGGCAGGAGGAGCAGATCAGGTGACCACGCGCGCACTGCATAATTGGCGGCATCATATAGCCAAAGCACACCGGGCACTCCAGCAAAGATATCAGAAATTCGTCTGAGGCACCACTGCGTATCGTGTCCAATGGCCCCTTAGCCACAATTCCCGACTGCATAGCCACTGAGTTCTTCTTCCTAGAGGGCACCAGTTCGCCGGCGGCTGTTGTGTCCGGGGTTGTTGTGTCCCGCTTGACCACCACAATGTGCGTGGTCTCCTCCGGCGGAATGACCAACGCTGGTGCCGATTGACGACGAGTCAACATCTCAGCGGATGCCATTGGAGCTGCAGTAGTCCTTTGCAGATTAACCCGCTCCGGCCGGGATTTCAATAGTGGGCGTGGGTTACCAATAGGCATCTGTGCGTCAGATAGCAATCAATGCGCAAACTATTATTCCTTAGACCTAACAACCAAACGATTGTGTAAAAAAAAGGTGCCGATACAAATTTTTGTTTACTATTTCCTGAACACTTAAATTTGGCTTAAAAGGAATAGAAAAAAGTATCTGTACTAAAATGTAACGAAGCTAAGAGTACACGGAGCTACTTTTACTTCGGAGCCTACTTAGTAATATTAATAACTTATTTAGAGAGCTCTTCATTGTGCAAAGGGGTATAATATTTGGCTGAATCCCAAGTATCTCAACGATAATCCAAGCTAAACAGCTTATTACTGATTTGAGTCGAACAGTTTACATAGCGGCACAGTTTTTTTTCGTCATTCAGCTTCCCAGATTAATTTCAATAATTAACGAGCATTGTTTACTTTTACTAATCACGTTTATTTCAGTTTTGTAGTTTTGTGTCTGTGTGAGTGATCTCATATGGTAGTGGCGCGGTAAATCGGCGCATTAAAAGCTAATTACGGTGCAGATGCTTAAAATCATTAATTTTTCTTCCGTTTTCGATTGGGAAACGTTGGCCGAATGGAAATCAAAACCAAAATATGAGCCAAACCGGGGAGATCGTCTAAACTAGGTAGAAATTTAAACATTAACATTGCTTTTTACGTTTTGGGGATGGGGGGGAAAATGGGAAGGGGCAACTGTCTTTTTAGCACTGCGAAAAAAAATTGTTTTCTTTTTTTTTTTTTGTTTTTTTTTTTGTGATGGTTTGGCATGAACAAAATTGCGAGTCGCAGTTTCATTTAGGCTGCAACTTTCAAACAACTCTCGAGTTATTACAGATTATCGCTATCAAATATTACTTTTCTTTGTGGTTTCGCTTTTGCCGCTATTGTTATTGTTATTAGGTTTGTTAATTTCGTTAAACTGTTCGTTTTACTTATTACCATTTACAAGTATTGTATAAAATAATTTACATTAACTAAACTAGACTTTGCAGTACATGTTCGAGTGATGAGTGACCTCCTCGCCCTTCTTGCTGTTCTGTTCGTTTTGGTGAGTGGGTCTGTGTTCCTAGTGTTCACTGTAGTGGGTGGTGGGCACGTGGGCACGCGCAGGCAGCTCTGCTCCAGGTGTGTGGCCCTTACGAACTAAATTAAACTAAAGCAGAACCCCATGAACTAACAAAACGGGTAACACTGAAACGTTGAAATATAGTAGTGTGTGCGGTAACTGAAAAATCATGTCCTAGAACTAGAGTACCAATCGAACCGATTAGACATACAAACATACAGGTCAGCCACGATTTTCGCATTCGTCAATGAACTGTGTTAATTAAATCCGCAAAATTTCGCCAAGAGTATTGGAAAATTTTCCGCAACTCCGTTGATTTACACACAGCCATGTACAAAAAAAAAAAATGAAGTTACGAATTTCAAACGCGGTTTTACAGGTTTAATGAACTTGTACAATAAACACTTAACAGCACTTAGCAATAGCTTTAATACGCTTTCCATTTCGTTTTGGAAAATTGTAAGTGTCTTATCCAGTTTTAAGTCCAAACAATTTGTCATAAGTGTGCGAACACAAAACTTTAGTACAATCGTTTTGGCCGATTTAAAAATTAAAGAGATAACTTTGCGATAGCCGAATGTGATAATCGAAGCACCCCGATATTTCCATAGTTATATATACATATGCATGTACGTGGTTTTTAGATTAGAGAATCATTTTTATAAAACAACTCTGCAAAACTCTTTCTTCTCAATCTCCCGACTCACAATCTGTTCATGAGTTAGACGCCTGATGCGAACAGAGGGCTATAAACTATATATGTATATGTATCGGAATAGTAAACACAAAAAATGAAAGAACTCGACGAATTGACAGTGCGCTTAGACCAGAGATATGGTCACGTTGATGCCCAGATTGCCATTGTCGGCGAACAGTTGCGCAATCGACGTGTCGAACACCAGACAGTCCGAGTTGTGAATCGCGGAAGCCACGCCCTCGTGGATCGAACGCGGCATTGCCTCCCAGGTGAGCCGGCGTCGGTTTCCGTTCAACTCCAGGCGGTAGACAAAGTTCTCCGCTTCCTTGCGCGACCCAATCAGCTGAACGATGGCAAAAAACTGCTGGTGTCCGTCGTACTTCTCCTGCTTCTCCAGCACGAGCATGAAATGGTGGCCGAAGCAGGACTGCATCATCACCCAGTCGACGGCGCCGGGCAGGTTGATGTCGGTGGCCAGGAACACGATGTCCTCGCCCTGCAGCGTTGTGATGCTCTTGTGCGACATCATTAGATGCTGCATGACTAGGTCCAGGGGGCCCTGCCACTTGCAGCTGGCGCCCGGGCACGGACACAGGTAGGGCCGGCACTCACACGTCTCCTCGTGTTCTGTCTTTTCCGTGTAGACCAGCGAGGCGGTGCATCCGTAACCAGAGTGCTTGCACGGGAACTTGACGTTCGAGGCAACCTTCTCCATCGCCAGGTTGCGGATATTCGCCAGCGGGCCACGGCAGGTGGGGCAGCAGGTGAGCTTGGAGCGACAGGACACGCACACCAGGTGCCCGCTGGAGCACTGCAGGATCGGGGGCAGCACATAGTCAAAGCACACGGGGCATTCGAACAGCGAGGTCAAGTCGGCGGACATGCCCGCATCACCGCCACCGGCGGACGACAGCGACGAGCTGGACGACGAGGATGTGTTGGCCGAGGACGTGTTGCCGGCACTGGAGGATCCGGTCGAGGTGCTCGTGTTGGTGGCCACTCCCGTGGCACCGGCTCCTGCTGCTGCTGCTGTCGGTTCGCGGCGCTTCGGGTTGATTTTATTGGACATTGGAAGGGTTCTCGCGACGGCACGAATGTGTCTACAATTCTTCTGGGTCCCTGCAATTCTCGCCAGGTTCAGGTTCGTCGCCCTTTCGGTGGCTTCGACAATGGCTTTCTTGTGCTTGTGGCTGAAACGAGACACAATCACAGGTTGGTGAGTAATGCGGCCAATTTAGTCATAGAAAATGTACTTTTTTTTTAATTTTGCTCGGTCGGTGATAAGAAACTCCAAAAAATGAATAACCTACAATACAATATTCATATCCGGCCGAATACAGATCTACGTTGGGTGGGAAAGATTTTAAGCTTAGTTCATCAAAAAAGAACTTATAGGAGCAACAAGCAAAATAATCATAGAATAACAAACTAAAGAAAATCTGAAATAAAATTGAACATATGTTATGTACTTCCTATCGATTTTGCGGTTTAAGTTCCGAACAAACTATGGATTTCCCTGTTCATTCCAACGATTTTGCCCACTGGGGCGTGAGTAACTGACAATCTTTTTTTCGAATGAAGTAATAAATTTTCCTTTCAATTGAAATGAATGCAAACTTTGAACAAAATCTACTTAATTCCTATACAAATTTAGCCTGAGAAAACGTTGTTCTATTAAAGAATGTAAACCAGAAATTTCTTAAAACCAAGTTCCACATTGTACCTTGCTGAGAGATTAGCGCTAATTCACAGATCTTAATAAAGATGGAAATAAATAAAGTAATAATTTAACAGCCAAGGAAAACAACCAACGATCAAGGGTAGTTTTACACTTCGATTTTCGTGCCGCTCAATAGAAAATCCACAGCGATTTATCATACCTGACCTTAACCTTGCCATGGATTCCCAATTGTTGTCATAACCGAAAAAAGAAAACACACGCATTTGCGTGTATGGGAATTGCATTTAAGCAATTACTTTAAGCGGAACGTATCGAACCAGAGTTGGTCGCCGAAAGTAAAGACACAGCCCGAGGTCGCCGTCACGTCTCCGGTCGAAATGAAGGCCCGATTCCAATTCCAACTCCGAGCCCAAGCCCAAAAGCCTCTTGGCGGCACGTGTGGAACGGCGCAAATATGTTGGCTCTTATCAGGCGCAGCTGACGGAGCCGACGCTGATGGACGGCCATTAGGGACGTCGACCTATTGCGGGATTGTTGGATGGTGATGGTGGGTGTCGTGCAGATTGTAATGGGTGTGGTGCCACGGGTTTGTCCACTTTGGACAGAATGGGCACATATGAATGTGAACAATACGCTGTGGGTGTTATGGGTGCTATGGGTGCTATTACGCGTTTATGAGATAACTATCAATATAATTATATATTTTTTTCGTAATTGTTCCACTCTGATGTACACACATTACTTGTTTTCTTTTGCTAACAGATATTAAATTGGATATTGCATCACATGGAATATTATAATTGTGTTTTAAAGAAGTTCAGAAACAATTTTTTAGTTTTTAAATCAAATTCAACCCTCTATTTACTTTCAACTGAAAACTAAGCCATCATATTTTGTTAATATTTTTCTTTTCCACGCATACAAAGAAAAAAGTTTAATTATATACATTATATTTCTATGTCCTATATATTGTGCAAGTTATTTGAACATTGCCATTATGAATTTCGTAACTTTGCCCGCATAAACGTAGAGTCGTAAGCGTAGGGCACGCAATGAAAAGTGCGTAACGTAACAAATGCAACGGGGAATTGTGGGAGGAGGGTGGCAGCCGCGGGGAGGGCAACACACACTTACAAAACAGACACAAATCGCACACACATAATTAACAGTTCGTTTACGTTGCGTACCGTTGGAAACGTTCATACGGGGTAAAAATGGTAATTGCCACAAAAGTCATAGCCATGAATATAATTAACTCGGCTTCTGCTTTCATGAGTTGCAAAATGGTAAAATAGAAAACGTAAGTTGCGGTGCAGAGCGAAATGCGACTATCTTTTCTTTATTTATGCCGCCATTAAGAGCGACTAGGCTGCATTATAAACAGCAACAACAACTGCGAAATACATAATCGTTGATATGTAAACTTACATGGCAGGCTGCCTCCAAGAAATTGTGCCGAGGTATTGGTGCCCCGCTGCGTTGGTGTGTGTGTGTGTGTTTTATTTTTCTTGTTATTTTTTGTTTCCTTTTTTATCAGTCAGCCTTTACGGCCATGCACACACACACTCGCATACAGCCAGCATGTGTGTGTATATATCCTAGGTGCAAGTTCCGTTTTTTACGCTGCTATTTGTTGGGTTTTTAACTACATATATAATCAATGCAGGTGGTTTTGCTACTGCACACGCACACTGGGAAAATGGAAAAACAGTTTTGATTGCTTTTCGCCTTTTCGTTCACCTTGCACCGCACCGAAACTCGAAATTCAGGCGTGCGCTAATTTCATTTGGCTTTTTATCTAATTTTCTTTAACGCGACCCGCACACACACACATTTATTCATATTTAGCTTTACTTGTTATTTTTGCCTCTTCTGCCTCTGTGTTGCTGCTGTTGTTGTTGTTGCTGCACAAAAATAAACCATTTGCATTTACACACAGCAGCGAAATGGTTTTTTTTTCGTGTGTCTCACTTTTTCTATATTGCGTTCTTTGATCGCCGAACTCGGCGTTTATTGCACTTGCACTTGCGCGGTGTGGAATTCAGTCTTTTTCGGCATTTTCCATGTACGTTGGGTGTGATGCCTGCATTCGCTGGTTAATTAATTAATTTACTTTACTAAGTTTCTTCTAATGTCCGCGTCGGTTGCAGAGATGGAACCTAAATCGTCGTCTATTCGATTCAAGATAACCGATTTCAGGCAATTGGCAACACCGATGTGACTTTGGTTACAACCAGTTACTGTTATCGATTGTTTAACAGCCTTGCCACTTTTGTCAAATTAATTAGTTTCCTTTTAAATTTAACAAATTTAACCTACATTTAAAAATGATTACGTGCTATACACTCATTTGAAAACATAAATAGATAAAATGTTATCCCTTATCGAACGAGATATGAGAAATCCATATTTATAAAAATTAAATTAAAATATCGATAGGCGATACCTTGTCTTTGTTTCTTATGTTTGGCGGTAATTTGAAAAGCATGCGAACTACATAGTTTCGACCCAGAAATTAGAGGAAATAAATTTGATTTGTTTCCTTTCCCAGAAGAGTAAAGTTCTGTTTTAAAAACCCAATAACCTTTTTTTGCTTCTCTGCATTTCTAGAGGGCTACCTCACGTCCTGCTCATTCGACTATCTTTCGGACAACTTCGACACCCGGTTGTTTGTGGGCACCATCTTCTTCTTCAGCTTCGTGTGTCCCACGCTGATGATCCTTTACTACTACTCGCAGATCGTGGGTCATGTCTTCAGCCACGAAAAGGCCCTAAGAGAGCAGGCCAAAAAGATGAACGTAGAGTCGCTGCGCTCCAATGTGGACAAGAGCAAGGAAACGGCCGAGATTCGGATAGCCAAGGCGGCTATCACCATCTGCTTCCTGTTCTTCGTATCCTGGACGCCCTACGGCGTAATGTCATTGATCGGGGCATTTGGAGATAAGAGTCTGCTTACACCAGGAGCCACGATGATACCGGCCTGCACGTGCAAACTGGTGGCGTGCATAGACCCATTCGTGTATGCCATAAGTCACCCCAGATACCGCCTGGAGCTGCAGAAGCGCTGTCCCTGGCTGGGAGTCAACGAGAAGTCTGGGGAGATCTCTTCTGCGCAGTCCACTACCACCCAGGAGCAGCAGCAGACCACGGCGGCTTAGAATCAAGGATAACTCTACTCTAATAAAACTGACCATGTAACACGAAAGCTTGGGAAACGTATAAAACAACGAGAACGAAACAGTAAACTATTAACTTTATAATTTGTAGTGAAGCATTCTTGAGTTCGAAATGAATAAATAGTAACTTATTGCAAACGAAGAACAAAATGAATCCGTTTTTTATTTGGGGTTCGGTTCTCAGATGTCACAATATTTCTACACTTACCTATCTAATGTAACTATTAAATCTTTAATTTTGTTTCGTGTATGTTTAAAGGAAATTAAGGGAAAAAATGCAACTCAAAACCGGAACACATTTACACAGTTGTTTGGAAACTTTTCAATCAACTAATAAAATCATAAATTCGAGCTATTTTCAAAATAGTCAGTAATGTATTTATTCGGTTTTTGGGTAATATCTTTCAGATACCCATTGTGAAATCTGTTGGCATTTGTTAAACAAAATGAATGTGAGCCCCCCCAGAGAGAAATCCCATGACCTTGGCTAATCCTCAGTTGCACAGTAGGGAATGCAGTCGAATGACTGCACGGTAATCGTTGTGCGACAGCAGACCACGCTGCGATCGCTGGAACACTCGGTTCAGCCGCTCTACGGTCTCCGTATTGGAGGTCATCTTGAAAAGATCATCGAGGTACTTGAGCGATTCGCGTGACCAGAACATGGACGGTTTGTTGGCGTCCTTGTTGATGCTGCCAGGTTGATTTTGACCCATTTCAGCCAACAGACGGTCGCACTCCGGATCGAGGGTCTGGCGCAGCTGAAGATCGGCTCGCGATCGTTGCTGGGGATTATTGTAGGGCATTTGGTTGACCTGCGGACGTCGAAGATGCTGCTGATATTGCTGATTGTTTTGCTGCTGATGCTGCTGTTGTTGCATACGTTGCTGTGGCACACGCTGCTGCTGATGCTGCTGTTGTAGACGTTGCTGCTGTTGCTTCGGTTGTTGCTGCAAGCGTTGGTGCTGGTTTTGATTTTGCTGCTGCAGACGTTGCTGTTGCTGCTGGCGTTGTTGATTTGGTTGCTGCTGAGCCTCATGCTGCTGCTGCTCCAGACCTTGACGTTGCTTCTTCTTCGACATTTTTGGAGGTGGTGGCGGAGCCATATCCTGCCAAGTTGGTGGAGGAGGGGTTGGCGATGGAGGCCGCTTACTAGGCGATTGCGGCTGACTTTGCGGTTTCTTTTGTTGCAATCCCAGCAGCACAGGATCTATGTGCAGCGAAGGCAGGCGATTCTTTTGATCCAGTCGGCCATAACTGTTAAGCAGAGAGTCGTAATTCGGATGCGGATATGCCGAGAAGATCATGCGCCAATGGTCCTCGATCTCGCTGCGCATCTGTGGCGTGGCGTTCTCATCAGGCGAAAAGTTATCGATCAGGCGACGCAATAGGACCAGCAACTGATCGAGATGTGCTTTGCCATTCAGAAGTCCCGCCTGTCCCACGAGGATCATGTTAAGCTGACGCCGCTTTTTTTCTGCCATTTTAAAGCCGTTTTTGGTATTCATCTCCTCTAGCTCCTTGATGCGCATGTAGTGGCTCTTGGCGTTTCCTAGATTGGTGTTAAGACTGTTGATTCCATCTCGGATAAAGCGAATTAGCACATCGATACGTTTGGGGGGTTTCTGGCTCTGGAAGTCAATGCTCTTACGTTTGACTTCCTGATTGCGTCGAAGCAGTTTCACTTGCAACTCTTCTTGGTGCTTTTTAAGACCATAGATCACCAGAACATAGCCGTAGTCCTTAAAGTCCATGCGTACGCTAACTTGACACTGTTTGGCGGCTGCGGCCAGAAAATTTCGGCCCTCGGGACTGAACAGGTACTCGGATTGATCGCGCGCCATGATGATTTTGCCCTCGCTTGGAACATCTGGCAGTTCTTCACTGGAGTCCGGATCGGGATTGTCGTCAGTGCGGCGACTGCTGCTACTGGAGTTAACACACATGGAAATTCCCTGGAAGTTGGAGGAGATTTCCAAATCGTCTCTACTTAGGGGTATGACATCAGGTAGAGCGGCCATGGGATGGTCGAGCGGAAGTTGAGTGGTGGGTTGGGCATCACTGGTTGTCGAGCTGGGCAGTTCAAAGTGCTCGGAGAAACTGTAATTCGAATCGGAGTCTAACTCATGGGGTGCCACCAAAGGTGCTCTACTTAGGCCAGTCTCCTTTTGTGGATTATCGAAATTGGTGGTAATCTCTTCACGCTGAACGGAGGACGATGGATCTTCTTTATCAGCGTCATTCATGGGTAGCTCCTTATCGGGTTGGCTTCGAACAGGCTGTACCTCCACGAGCTGCTCGTCTTCAGGTTGCTCTTCTTCATGTTGCTCCTCTACGGGTTGCTCCTCTAGTGGTAGCACCTCTAGAGGTTGTTTTTCTTCAACGGCTACAGGTCGGTTCTCAGCGGTTATCTCGGCAACAGGCTTTTGCTTTGTGAGCGATTTCTTCGCCGTTCCAGTGGATACTTCCCTCCGAGCCGCCTTCACCTGAGCATTGGGCATATATTCATGGGTATACATCTTTGCTGGAATCTCCATTAAAGCAGTGGTTGACTTCCTCTTGGGCGGCTGGGCTTTTGCCAAGTTCGCATTCACAAGGAACTTAGCATAATAGCAATTTTTTGGCATACTCGGATTATTCCACTTAAAGTGAAAGGGAGTTTCATTAGCAAAAAAGCCGCTCAAGTCTCCAAGATTACCTATCGGTCCACCGCGATTCTTGTAGATCTTTTGGTGTGACACAATCTGGCTTGTGTAGTTCGTGCTTCGATAGTCACCAATCCGCTGTCGACAGTTCTCAAAAGGATGGCGTCCGGCGCAGTAACTGCATTGTACGCTTCTATACTGTACCCTGCTATCCAGTTCAGTGTTTGATCGAGTCTGTTACAAAAGAGAGATGAACATTGCATTGATTGCACTGAATGATAAATGTGTATTACCGTAGAGTGGTACCGACGCCACTTATCCGGACAGTGATCCACGCCGTGTCCTCTCATTTTGCACAACTGGCAGACCAGGCGGCTGTGAAAGGAGCACTTGTTGCACTGCTGCACGTAAATTTCCTGCTTTGATCCGCACTAAAGATGAAGAATGAGTTGTTTATTAAGTTCGAGTTGTAATAATTGTTACCTACCCCAAAACAAATGGCGTTGGGACACCGGGGCTCGGTATGACCAACAGTTCCGCAGAGAAAACAAACAAGTGGCTTGCGGGGACGCGGGCACTTTGCTCGAACGTGCCCCATCTCAAAGCAGTTGGTGCACTTCGCATGGGAGCGGGGTCGTTGCACCGGATACCTATCCGCAGTGTTGATCCTCCACTCTTGGCGATGAGCTGCAATTACAGTGGATTAATAGCTGTATTTGTTTATTACTAATAAGTCAACTGCACCTGTCATCATTCTTTGGAGCTTGTGAACTGAGAAGTTTTCCCCATTCCAACTGTCATTATAGAATCTGCACATCTCCTCGTTCCAGCCAATGAGGTCGCCGCTTCTTGGCAGACTTTCGTCTGTTAGCACTGGCAAATTATGATCCACTTGTATGGGCTGCTCTACGTTTGGCAAGTCCGTATCGTTCTCATCGGTATCCGCCTCTTCAAGCTCGTTGGAAGCATCCATATCCTTTTCGAAACGCACAGTGGTGTCAGCACTTTGGTCTCGGGAGTCTTCTTCATCGGATATATATCCACTTGCATTCATTTGTTCCTCGTCCTCCTTTTCTTTGGCTTGGGCATCAAGCCGCTCGAAGACTGCCGCCAATCGATCAGTCATGGCATCGCGAAACTCTGTCTCTGCTTGGGAATCCGCATCGGATCCGATGGAAACGCTATCCATAGCATCGCTAGTGCCTTTTTGTAACTGCTCTCTTCCTTGTCCTTGCTCTTGGTTAAGTAGTCGCTCGGCTATATCTCTGGCACTTGGCAGTTCATCCTCGGACGAGGATTCTGAGCTAGCATGCTGGATTGTAGAAACTTTTGGTTTTCGGATACGTGTACCCATCTTCGAATTGTCATCAGAGCTATGTCTGGTGCTTATTCTACGGATCTTGCGCTTAC